GTATCAAAACCACAGTCTCTTCATGGATGAAGGACATCAACATTTCTTTATACTCCAATACATGAACATGCGTATGTAACCCCCACCATTTTTTTTTTTCCCGTAAGAAATTAAGGCGGAACTACACTGCATCTGAGCAACACAAACCAAAAATGCTGTCTAATTAATTTTTAATGTTCAAAGCAAACTCCCACATCCATTCAGCATGCATAGTTTTGTTGAGAAATCACGTTGAAAAACACTCTCTTATCATTTCTGGTAGTGTCCAACTTGAGTAAGGACAGATGATTCATGTAGCATTTACTTCCTGGAATCCATCTGCCCTTAGCTCATGCATGCAGGTAGGAGGGTGTGCTTAGCTGATAACCCCCCTCCCCCTCCCGAAGTCTCCTGGGGTGTATGATATGATTTTTCTAGGCATGGAAACCAGGAAATAACTGCAGAAATGTAAACAAAAAGTTTTAAACAAGTAAATATACAGTAATATACTTTCCTATCTATTTACTAATGCTAGCGGCATAAGGGTTAACAATAGCCAGTGTTGATTGAAAGAGTGAAGTTCTACTTTTTGATGATGAACAATCATTTATGTTATATATTTTAATTGTTTCTTAATGTAAAAATAAACTAAAATCAAGGGTTTAGATGGTCCCTAAAACTTGTGACCAACAACAAGTTGTACCCTCTCTGGCGCAGTAATTTTAAGGAAGACAATATGGGATTGATTTACTAAAAGCAAACAGACTGTAGACTTTGCAAGTACTGTTACACTCTGAAAGTGGTGTTGCTCCAGAGCTTAGTAAATGAGGGTTAAGTTTCAATTTAGAAAAAAGAAACAAAGACATGCAATGAAAATTACTAAATAAATATTTTGCACTGAACATGATGTAAATCAGCAGGGATCCACCCATTTACTAAACTCTGGAGGAACTGCACTTGCAATGTGTACAGTCTTTACTTCCCTTTAGTAAGTTAACAAACATGCTTTCTGATCATTATGAATTCTACTTGTCTGTCCAAGATTCAATACATAGAGAAAAGGATGAGTTAGCATTGATATGACAGAGAAGCTCCACAGGACAGGTTGTTGGGGTGATATCACCTGTGCAAAAATGAAGACCAGTTAAATGTATAAGATGTATGTTATATGTTTAAAAGATGAAGGAAACATATATTTGACAGAAATGCAATCATTGTTTTAGTACCATTACACATATTCAAACAAACCTTTCATTGATATCCAATGTCATTTTCTTCTTTATGCTTCCCTTTATGGCTTGAGACCTATTTTTAACATGATACTCATTATGAGGTGCTACTACCACTGAATTTACGGCTTGTGTAATTCTCTCCAAGCTTGATCTGTTTTCAGCGTCTGAGTTCCCAGCAACTTCTCATATTCAGAGACCAGATTTTCTATTACAACCAATTTTTCAGCATATGTAAACTTCATGTTTTGTGTTGCGGACCATCTGAGCATTTTCTCTTCTTGGTAGGGGGAATGGATCTTCTTTTTGCACTGCTCTCACTAAAAGTTTCCTGCTGTCTTTTTATTTTACTTAGTGGAGGTGTTTTCTTGTGGCCTGCACTGCTGTCATTTGACCGCTGATCAACACAGGGCACATATATTTTGTATTTTGCCTCATCAACTATTTCTGTACTTCTATCCACATAATTAATTTGAGTAGGGCTTGAATGTTATCTTCTGTTTTCACTACTGGTCTTTTACGAATCTCCATCTTCATCACTTTCCAACATGGTGGAAATTTGGGAAATACATATCTGTCCACAAATTTTGATGACATGCTTAACATGCTCATTTTTATTTTAACACTTTCAGAGATTTCTACCAGCCTTGTTTTTGTTTTTTTCTAGATGAACCAAAGTTTTCCAGGGACCTTCTGAGTCCTGGATTTGTGGCTTCTATGACAGCTTTGTCTTTGGGGCACCCTAAACAAACAAACAAACAAACAAACAAACAAACAAAAAAAGCTTCTGTTGAGCAGGCTTTATTTCAGGTTAAGTTTGAGATTAAAAACCTACAGTATATCTATTGTTTACCATACTTTTGGCTTGTTTGATAAATTATTTTTTTCAGAGGGTGCTTTTTTGAATGTATTCTTAAACTGCAATTGAATAACAAAATTGTGCATGGTTAGGCTGCCAAAATGTGCAATATGTTTATTTTTTTCAGAATTAAATACCTCCAAAATAATACATTTTTCGTGTTCAAACAATTTTATTTTTTAACATGGAACAGTATAAAATAATAAGCAAAAGTATGGGTCATTGAAGGTGTACATTAATTGCACAGTAAGAAACCCAAAAATACAAAGTCAGGCATCACTAATAAAGAGGACTATCAAATGGCAGTTAAGGCCTAACAAAATGGGGGGGGGGGGAAAGGATAGGAAGGGGCATACGGCTGCACAGTAGGGGGGAGAGGGGGAAACCCGCAGTATGGTTAAGGAATGGTATCATCAAACAAAAGATGCAGATTACGGATTGAGAAGGGAGTCATCAAAATTGGATGGGAGGAAATGCTCTACCCAGGGATTCCAAATCTTCTTGAACTTAGGGATGGAATCTAGGATAGTGGCTTCTATTTTTGCGTGAATCATTGCCTGAGTGACCCTATTCGAAACTGCAGTCATACTCAACGAGGGAGATTTCCATGATTTAGCGATAACCTGCTTAAAATAATACATTTTTACATTTACATTCTGAATTCACAGTTCTGATTTGACTTTTTTCTTTGCCTTTTCACTTATTAATAGTTTGGAGACCCAATAATGAATGAAAGTTAAAAGATTATTTAAACATGACAAATGTTTTCAAAACAACAAAATACACATATTTAATTCTACATGAGTGAGCAATTAAAGTGACATAATTTAGGATCTGAAGGAATCAATCATGACTTACCTCTGTAATGTTCATTTTCATTCATAGAATTTTATTTTATTTTCACATTAACTAAACCCAAATGTAATACATAAGCATGTACATACAGTAATCATGTATGCTGTTGATGACAACTCTGTATGAAAACTGGATGATTTCAGCTGAAAACAATATTGGTTATTGGTTAGATTAATTTAGTTTTTGGTTAGCCCTTAAAATATATTCTGTGCACCTTATTAGAAGAGTCAAACTTAAATAAATCACATACAAATTCCCCTATCAATTATTCCAATGACAGCTATGATGAAAATAAAACCATCATATACTGGGAAAAAAAATCCCTGCCATCAGAGTGCCCCCATAACATCAGGATGGGACCTTTAAAAATAAAAATCGCTCTAATCACTTCACCTCCTTCTATAGGATAGCTGTGCCCCTAACATTTTTGGATAGTCTCTCTGCTATCAGGGTGCCCCTTTACATTGACCCCATTCAGTTCCCCAATTTATGGATACTTTCATCAGCATTGCATTCTTTCACCCCCCTTTCATTCACTTCTTTGCTGTTGCACAATGTTTTTTTTAGCCACATTCTAGCCACAACTTGAAAATGTTCATCCCTCTTTCTCTATTTGTTTGTAGTACAGAAACTTACACCTAAATGTTTGCAGAACTGCTAGCTGGATGGCTTCTTCTATTAAATTATTAAACAACCGCACAGAAAACATGTCAGTTCATGTTTCACTATTCCAAGCAAATGGGGAAAAAGGGCTGAAGATTTCCAAAGGAGCTTTTAGTGTGAATAAGCATTAGCCATGTGTACCATAAACATAGAAGAACATTGGACAACAGCCAAGACAAATGTGGGTGTAAATAAAGATAAATACTGCATTAAAATTTGTTCCAAAAGTGTAAAGAAGCACTAGCCATAAGTGTTGAAGAACATTTACGGCTGCAAAGACAAATGCAGGTGTAGATATGAAGAAATATTGCATGGCCATATGTCCTACATGCAGGGCCGCTGATAAGGGGGTACCACCGGGCCTCCTGTAGGGGGCCCCAAACCTGTCACTTAATAGGGGGGCCCGGCCAGCCAGCAGCTTCAAGCTGTCATTCTCCCACTGCTCTGTTCCAGCCTCTCCAGCTTTTTGTTAGCTCTCCTACTTACTGCAATATACTGTATCAAGCCCTCTTCACTCCCATAACCTCAGTCTACTTCTGGGAAACTTCACCTTTGTTCCTTCCTGGTAAGTGTCATTCATCTATACCGGGATCATTTCACTTCTGCTTTCACCCCCCCCCCCCCCATGTACACCTATCTCTCTGCCAATACAATCCTGCAGTAAGTCAGATGCTCCTTCACCAATCCTCCTACCTTTTATCTCTCTCCTGTTTTTTTAATTCTGCCCTCTGCTTCCCCCTCATAAATCACTGCAGCCTTCCATCTCAGCTCTGAGCCTTCACAGACTTACACCCATGTGTGCTGACACCCTTTCCATCCCAGCTTACTTTTATCTAACACAACAGTCCTGTCAGAATTCTGCACCTAGCACATGCAGCCTTTCACTCTGCTATTCATTAACTCATACAATTAGGGCTCAATCACACAAGTGCGGTGACTGGCATTTTCCCACAAAATGCCAGTCATTATTAGGGCAGCTAGAACAGAACTGTTTTCTATGTGCCTTGTTTACACTGAAATGCAGCCTGGAGGTACTGTGCAGTAAGCTGCAATAAAATGCAGTCATGATACATTTTATCACAATGCATTGGATGGCACCAACATAGCTGCCAATCAGTCCTTCTCAAACATACAGTGACATAGCAGTGATATAGCAGCCTTTTTGTTTCCTTCCAGTGACCCTACAGCGCATGTCACGAACATTGCATATATTACAAACATGATGTCATTATTAGCAGTTTTCCATCTTCCCCCTTGGCACTGGATGACCTTGTCCTGACACTGCACAGATGGACCACCTTCAGAAACGTCTCAGGAAAGGTACAGTACATTATGAACACACACACGTTTCCCTGTGCCCTACCTGTTACCCATGTTGAATTATACAGCAACGAGCAGCCAAATGTTATCATCATCATTATCATCATGGTGATAGTCACACAGTACAGGTGCTTTGATCCACAGCACTTGTACTGTGCGATTATCATGATGATAATGATCATGATCAGGGGTGGATTGACAACTCATGGGGCCCCCAGGGCAATAGGGGATCATGGGGCCCCTGTGTCCTTGCCCAAACTCAAAAAAGCCTATGAAAAAGGTACCAGGGGCATCTCATGGGGCCCCCCTACTGACCCCACGCCCTCAGGCAGTGCCCGAGTTTCCAAATGGTCAGTCCACCCCTGATCATGATCATTGCAGGTCAGTGAAATGCATGTTTAGGCTCCTATCACATGGAGCCGATTCTGCTTTGCTCAGTGGGGGATATGTCCACTGATCACCCCCTGAGCAGAGCAAAGTGGGCAGATGATAAGTTTGTGTCTCTGCTCTATGGGTGGTTGGGTGCAAATGGACACCTCTATCTGATTACACCTGACTGCCCTCTGATTCTATCCACCTATATGGAGAAGTTCAGGTCCCCTTCCACTTCTTTTAGCAGACCGAATCAGATTGGAGGTAAGCGGGTGTAAACAGGCACAAGTCCGTCAACACCTGCCTCTCCATAATGGTGAATAGAGGGTCCAATTAAAACAGTGCTGTGTTTACCTGGCCAGCACCAACCAGGAAAGCAGCCAATAAAACTGATCTGTGTTTTATCAGTTGCCTTAGAGGGCAGGGGAGGGAACAGTGGTCTAATAGATCCCTAATCTCTTCATAAAGAGGACCTGTCTGTGCCACAGTTGTCACAAGGGATGTTATTCATCCCCTGTGATAGCAATAAAGTTGAACAAAAAAGCAAAAAAAAATGCAAAAATTCGAGCACCACACCTCCTGGTAAATTTGTGACCTGTAAAGGTTTTTAAAGCTTTACCTGTGGAACATTTTAGGTACTGTAGTTTGTCACAGTTTAACAGGTGTGCACAGTTTTTAATCTTGCCATGTTTGGTATTTATTTACTCAGTGCAACATCATACCATAAAATGGTATAGGGATGGTGGTCATTCATCCCAGACCTATCCCAGTGCCAATTCAAACAACAGTTTCTGTGGACCTTGCTGGATTTTTTTTTCATACTGCTTTATTCATTCATTAATGGTTGATATTAAATGTGGATACTAAAGAGGTCTGTTCTCATCAGAAAACACTATTCTTTTGAATAATCATATTTTCTGTTTAAAGATAAATATTAATAGTTACTGTACATAGTTAGTCTGGCTGAAAAAAGACAAAAGTCCATCCAACTCAACCATTAAAAAAAAAAAAAAAAAAAAAGTTATAATCCTATACCCAGAGTTGATTCAGAGGAAGGCAAAAAAACTCAGCAAAGCATGATCCAATTTGCTCCTGCAGGGGAAAAATTTCCTTCCTGATCCCCTGAAAGGCTCATGGACATTTCCTGGATCAACCTTACCTATAAATAGCAACCAATTATATTCCGTGTATCCAAGAAAGAATCCAGGCCTTTTTTAAAGCAATCCACTGAGCTGGCCAGAACCACATCTACATTTTCACAGCTCTTACTGTGAAGAAACCTTTCTTGTCCTCTGTGATGACCTCAGGGTGAATAACTCTACACTGATTTCACTATATGAACCACTGATGTATTTATACGTTTATCATATTCCCCCTTAACCACTGGCCTACCAGACACTTTTACCCCCTTTGTGCCCAGGCCAATTTTCAGCTTTCAGCACTGTCACACTTTGAATTACAATTGCGCAGTCATGCAACACTGTACCCATATGAAATTTTTATAATTTTTTTTTTCACACAAATAGAGCTTTCGTTTGGTTGTATTTACTCGGCGCTGGGTGTTTCATTTTTTGCGCTATAAACAAAAAAAAGAGAAAACAATTTGAAAAAAAAAGTTTTTCTTTGTTTCTATTTTAAAATTTTGCAAACAGGTAATTTTTCTCCTTCACTGATGTGCGTTGATGAGGCTGCACTGATAGGCGGCACTGATGGGCACTGATAGGCGGCACTGATGAGGTGGCATGGATAGGCGGCACTGATGGGCAGCACTGATGGGCACTGATAGGTGGCACTGATAGACGGCACTGTTGAGCTGGTACTGATGATGGGCACTGACTGGCGGCACTGCTGGGCACTTACTGGTGGCACTGACTGGCGGCACTGCTGGGCACTGAATGGCGGTAATGCTGGGCACTGATGAGTGGCACCGCTGGGCGGCACTGATGGGCAATGGTGGGTGGTACTGGTGGGCACTGATGGGCACAGGTGGGTGGCACTGATGGGCACAAGTGGGTGGCACTGATGGGCACAAGTGGGTGGCACTGATGGGCACAGATCATCAGGGCACTGATCATCAGTGCCCTGAAGATCGATGCCGATCCCTCCTTTGACAACTGCTGGTTCCTGGTAGTACTTTCCTCACGCTGTGACAGCATGTGGAAAGTGCAGCCGATAACCAGCAATTTTTTGACGATGATCAGTGGGTCATTGGACACGGCTGATCACAAGGTAAACGGCCGCTGTGATTGGCCTTTTACCATATCATGTGATCAGCTGTGTCCGTAGGACACAGCGATCATGGAGATCGCCTGGGGCGTGCTCTCGGAGGAGTGCAGGAGAGCACTTTCTGGGAGGACGTTATATGACATCCACCCAGAACTGGCCGGCCGCAGTGCAGCCGTCATTCGGCTATCTGTAGTCGGCAAGAGGTTAATCTCCTCTTCTCAAGAGAGAATAAATTCAGTTCCTCTAATGTTTCCTCATAGCTGAGCTCCTCTGTGCCTCTTATCAGTTTGGTTGCCCTTCTCTGTACTTTCTCCAGTTCCTCAATGTTCTTTTTGTGAATTGGTGCCCAAAATTGAACTGCATATTCCAGATGAGGTGTTACTAATGATTTGTACAGGGGTAATATGATATCTCTCTCTGGAGGCTATACCTCTTTTAACACAAGAGAGGATTTTGCTCGCTTTAGAAACCGCAGCTTGGCATTGCATGCCATTATTAAGCTTGTGATCTACCAGAACTCCCAGATCCTTCTCCACCATTGATTACTCCATTTGTACCCCCCCACCCCCGTATGTATGATGCATGCATATTCTTAGCCCCCAAGTGCATAACCTTACATTTATCAACATTAAACCTCATTTGCCACATAGTTGCCCAATTAAACAGTGCATTGAGGTCAGCTTGTTAGTTGGAGACATCCTGTAAGGACATTATTCCACTGCACAGCTTGGTGTCATCTGCAAAGACTGAAATGGGATTTTTAATCCCAGACCCTATATTGTTTATAAAATATTAAAAAGCAAGGGTCCCAACACTGAACCTTGGGGTACACCACTGATGACCCCAGACCATTCAGAGTATGAATCATTAACCACTACTCTCTGAATATGGTCATTTAGCCAGTTTTATATCCATTTACATACAGATTTTTCCAAGCCTGTAGACTTTACCTTACACATTAGCCATGTGTGGGGACCTGTGTCAAGCGCTGTTGCAAAATCCAAGTATACCACGTCCACCGTCACCCCTCTGTCCAAAGTTTTGCTCACCTCCTCATAAAAAGAAATCAGATTTGTTTGACAACTTCTGTCTTTCATGAATCCATGCTGTCTGTTGCTTAAAATATTTTTTTCCAGCAAGAACTCATCTATGTGGTATTTTATTAAACTCTCCAGTATCTTCCCAACTATAGAAATTAAACTAACAGGTCTATAAATACTTGGTAAAGATTTTGACCCCCTTCTTAAATATTGGCACCACATTGGCCTTACGCCAATCCAGTGGATACTATGCCAGTTATTAAAGAGTCCCTAAAAATTAGAAACAATGGCTTTGGAATTATAGTGCTCAATTCTTTAAGGACCTGTGGGTGTATTCCATCCGTCCAGGTGCTTTATTCACCTTTATTCTGTCTAAATATGTTTGGATCATATAAATTGTGAGTCAATTCTTTGAAGACAAAGCTGCATTTTTTAGGTGGGTGTGTTGGGGGTTAGAGGCGGGGTTGGGGGCCCCATCAGGTAGGCTGTATGGGACCCCATTATTTCTAAGAGTGGCTCTGCCTACACGATCCAGGACACTGAGCTTTTGCTCCAGACTCTTCAACATCACTCCTTCTGCAAGGTCCTCAGAAGTGTCCACGGTAAAGAAATAATGCCCACTGGATATGACATAACTACCGAATGGTTTCATGAGATAAATACCACACTTTCCACAGGAATATAGCATGCTTTATGTTATAAATGATTTTTCATGAATTGCAAAAACTTTTTTTAAAAAGCTCTGTGCAATCGGAAGTGATTAACCACTTGCCCTCTAGAGCATTTACCCCCCTTAATGACCAGGCCTCTTTTTGCTACTCGGTGCTGCACTAATTCAACTGATAATTGCGTGGTCATGCAATGCTGTACCCAAACAAAATTTACGTCCTTTTTTTCACACACATAGAGCTTTCTTTTTGGTGGTATTTGATCACCTGTGCACTTTTTATTTTTCACGCTATAAACAAAAAAAGACCAAAAATTTTTAAGGAAAACAATATTTTTTAATTTCATCTATAAAAAAATATATAGTAAACTCAAAGTTCGTTATAAATTTAAGCCAAAATGTATTCTGCTACATGTTTTTGGTAAAAAAAATCCCAATAAGTGTATATTGATTGCTTTGTGTGAAAGTTATAGCGTCTACAAACTATGGTATAGATACTGCAATTTACGCCATTTTTTTTTGCTATACAGCGCTGCACTAGTTTAACGGACAATTGCGTGGTCACGCAATACGGTACAAAAATGAAATTTATATCCTTTTTTTCACACAAATAGAGCTTTCTTTTGGTGGTATTTGATCACCTGTGCGTTTTTAATTTTTTTGCGCTATATAAAAAAAAAGGCTGACAATTTTATGAAAAAAAAAAACAATATTTTGGACTTTTTGCTATAAAACATGTCCAGTAAAAAAATTTAAAAATCAAATTTTGTCATAAATTTCAACCAAAATGCATTCTGCGACATGTCTTTGCTAAAAAAAAAACCAATACGTGTAAATTAATTGGTTTACGTGAAAGTTATAGCATTTACAAATGGCGGGAAAGATACTCGGATTTTTAATTTTTTTTTATACTAATAATGGCGGCAATCAGTGACTTATGGCGGCGATCAGTGACTTATGGCGGCGATCAGCGACTTATGGCAGAACTGCGGGACTGACACTGGGAGGGAACTGACTTGGGGTCACTGACATTCTCAGTGACACCAATACAGTGATCAGT